ACAGTCACAAATCAAAAAATTATAGGGCACAATTTATTCGTCGGGTACAGATTTTTTTCAGTCATAAATTATAGAAATTTTAGATCACAATTAAATAGTTTGTCACAAATAACCAAATAGTTTGTCACAAACACTAAACACCCCATCTTATCCAGATCCATCACCAATACTTCGTACAAATCAACCAAACAGTTGGTCACAAACACTCTTCATCACATCTCGCCGTCGCGGCCACCACACCACCACCAACATCAACAACAACAACAACAACAACAACAAAAAAAACACAACACCACCAACAACAGTGACATCGCCAACAAAAACCACCCTAACACCAAAACATAAAAAACCACAACAACACCAAAACCAACAAAAACCAACACTACGGCACCATCGCAAACCACCTCCACGGCACCAACGTCACAAATCACGCACCACTCCAAAACCAAAAAATCCAACAAAAGCCACCACGACGACACCACCATCACCGATCACGTATACCGTTGCAGTGTACCAGATCGCACGGACCAGTGTCGACGGGTGGATGAATAACAAATTCGGAACCAGCGTCGCCATGCACTAGATTGCGGCATACCAACCAAACCGTGACGCCATGCATTGATGAATCTACGCTGTCGCGTAGGAACCCTGTCTACGACTTCAGTTCACGCTCTGCAGCTATTTTTTCCATCGTTGCTGCACGTGACAGCTCTATGAATGCCACCTCGTAGGTGGCTCTGTGAGAGAAGATTAAGACGAATAAAGAAAATTCGACAAGTAGCGAATATTTTCCTATCATTGTCGCTGCTTAAACGGCTATGCCTATGAGGGGAGTGAACGGGGGGAGGGACGATGGAAACTATTTTAGGTTTTATAGTGGGGTCGGGTGCGTGGGCAGGGTTGTGAGAGGTAGACAAATTTTGAATTAATCTAAATGAACATAATGCTTAGCATAGAGGTTAATTGACCTCTCACATTGCTCGACGTAAATTAAATAATGCCGACCTCCCCCATGTGTGTGTGTGGTGTCATCTCCTATGTCAAGTATTATGTTTGTGTAGCAAAACTCATAAATTTTATAATATTATTAATAATTTAATTAATGCCCAATTTTTTGTTAAATAAACTTCACACCTGATTTTCAATTTGGAAAACTTAAATACCTATTAATATGTAATTTCAACAAAAAAATATTTCAAACCCGTCACTTTAAAATCGGGACGTTCCGCGTTGCCCAAACCAGCCCATAATTCAACACTTCGTACTAAAAATATATAAAGGTTTTGATTCAATTTTTGTTGATTTAAGAGATCAATAATAAATATTTTTTAAAATATAGAAATTTAGAAGTTTTATTTTTATCATTTTTTTCCAGCTAATTTTATTTAGTTTAAGAAAAGTTCCAACAGTTGATAAAATTAATGTAATTTTAAAAGTAATAATAATGTATAAGAATGCGTACAAGAAANTAAATAATGCCGATCTCCCCATGTGTTTGGTGTGTCTTCCCCTATGTCAAGTATTATGTTTGTGTAGCAAAACTCATAAATTTTATAATATTATTAATAATTTAATTAATGCCCAATTTTTTGTTAAATAAACTTCACACCTGATTTTCAATTTGGAAAACTTAAATACCTATTAATATGTAATTTCAACAAAAAAATATTTCAAACCCGTCACTTTAAAATCGGGACGTTCCGCGTTGCCCAAACCAGCCCATAATTCAACACTTCGTACTAAAAATATATAAAGGTTTTGATTCAATTTTTGTTGATTTAAGAGATCAATAATAAATATTTTTTAAAATATAGAAATTTAGAAGTTTTATTTTTATCATTTTTTTCCATCTAATTTTATTTAGTTTAAGAAAAGTTCCAACAGTTGATAAAATTAATGTAATTTTAAAAGTAATAATAATGTATAAGAATGCGTCCAAGAAAAGGCTTAAAAATATAAAATTTCCACTTAACTTGTTAGTGTATATTTCAGTATTTACCCAACATGATATTATCCCTTAACGTATTCGGCAAGATGGTGACTCAATTAAGCAACTCAATCTTGTGATCCTTGTGAAACTTAATCAACTCTAATGCCATATTAAAATTTGAGTAAATATCTTAAATATCAATATTGTTAAGATGAGTAATACAAACACTTGCATGTTATTATATTTCGGTATTTTATTGATATTGGAATCCCTTAATATTTTATTCGCAATATTAAAAGAACTTGCTTACAAATGTTAATATACTGCGTTGATCAATTAATAAAACAACTGATAGATGAATACTATATAACCAAATGAATTATGCTACACTTACAAAATTTTTGTACATATATAATTACATATGCACGTGTGTTCAAATTCAAATCAAGGGACACATATGCATATGTCAACCTATCTGTATAAGTAGAATAATTGATAACCAAAATAATCTATTAGAGTTCGGTTGTGATGCCAATTCTATTGGGAGTTGGTGTATGTCTTGAAGAAGTCAAAGACGTATTTGGTAGTTTTTGAACTCCTATTTTAAGTCAAATACTCCATTATTGATTTTACCTATTGTAATAGGACTTCTCCATATGTTAAAACTCTTATTTATATTAATTCTTCTAGTATGATAGGAATCCTTGTATTATAAATGTGGTATATCACACAAATTTATGTGATCGACTTAGAGAGTGATCTGGGGGGATCTAGGTTAAAAAAGAGAGATTCACATATAGAAATATTTGGAGAGAATTTTGTGAGATCTCGTATAACATATTGTGACTCCATACTTTTGATATAGTGAATTATGTCTATGCCCGTAGTTTTTCCCAGTTGGATGTCTACATAAATCTTGTGTTCTTATTATTTGATTTTATATTGCCATACTATCTAATTATTTTCTAATAAACTAGTATTATAGCTATGGTATCGCTTTATTCCTAACAAGTGGTATCAGAGTTCAGGTTCGACAGTTCTTGAGAGTTTGGTTTTGTATTAGAGGGATGTTTGATCAACTCATAACGATGTTTCATTGTTTCGAGATGCAATTATGAAGGTTGATATTCTACTTTTAGATCACAAAAAGATTTTTCGTTATAATAGATTTTTGTTTGGAATTTGGAGGAGAAGCAACGTATGGATCAAGTTGTGATGAAGGGCAAGGAATGTCCGAATTATATGTTTTGGAAGGTTCGACGATCACATTTGATACAGGTGTCACTAAATTGAAGAAAAAAGATATTAGACCTAAAGGATCGATAAGGCTAATTTGATTGCTTATGGTTCAATAAGCATTGACATAGATAGAATTAGTTGTGATCGGGTTGCTCGTTGTCATAAGCAAATTTGGTACTGAGGAACCTTCTACTAGCTTAGGTGGAGTTGTGATCTTGAGATTCTTATTGCTCGTGATTATAATCCGACAAAATTTGATACCCAAGATAATCCTGTAGTTAAGCAATGCTTGGATTTAGTTGGCAGTTATTGAATTTGTTTTAATTGGACTTTGTGGAAGATGTGGAGTAATTTGGTGGAGTTAAAGAGTTAAGTTTTATTCCATGCAACAAAATTCGTGTCAATGTGAAGATTTGTTAGAGTTCGGCTGTGACCCGAATTTTATTCAGAGTTGGTAGTATGTGAAGATTTGTTAGAGTTTAGTTGTGACCCGTATTTGGTATTTTTGGACTCCTATTTCAGCTCGAATACTTCGTTATTGGTTTTACCTATTATAATAAGACTTTAACTTGTATTAGACTCTTATTTCTATTAATTCCTCTAATATGTTAGAAATTCTTGTATTATAAATATGTGGTGCATTACACATATTTATCTGAATGACTCAGAGATTGATCTTGGGGGGATCCATATTAATAGAGAGAGACTCGCAGATAGAGATATAGGAGAAGAGTCTTGTGAAATCCCGTACAACGTATTGTAACTTCTTACATCTTACTTTTGATATAGTGAATACTTCACCTCTTCACGTGGTTTTTTTCCAGTTGGGTTTCCACGTAAATCTTGTGTTCTTGTTGTTTGATTTCATATTGCCATATTATCTCGTTATTCTAGGGCATGATTTTTTTCTTTCTCTTGAAGGCTTGTGATGATGATACAGCTAATTTCCTTCAATTATTTCCATCAAGTCCATGTCTGAAAATATACAGACACATTATTTCAATCCTGTAGCTGCTTTTTATTTCCTTAATTTGGCTTTTACTTTCCCTAATGGGTATTTCCTTTGAGCAAGCGTTCTTGCCATTTTAAGCACCTTAGACTGTATTTAATAGGGTTATCTTTATCATTGTAAGCTTTGAATTGAATTATATGTTGTTGAGAGAATTTCTCAATTTTATTTCAATCGTTCGGAGTACACTCTTACTCTTGAATTATTGAACTTTTGATTACGGAATTTAAGGATATTTATAAAATTAACTGATCTTCGAAGGTGTCTTCATTTCTTATGCTTCCGTCTAAGTCAGTTTGTAAACAGCTATAGTGATTGAGTTCATGTTGAAGCTGCTTGAGTTCAAAAAATGCCTTTTTTGATTTTTTTCTATATCTTTTGTCTATCAATATGATTTTAAATATCATCCAAATATTATATTAGAATAGTTCAGTTCAGACAAATGAAAGGCAATAATTATTTTTTCTAACTTAAATACATATGGAGACGAAACTCAAATTAATTTCAAACGACCTACCAAAAGTAAAAGCTCAACGTTCCACAAATCCCAAAACCAAAAGGCTAGAAAAAGTGAAAGAAAACATCATAGTTAAACTCTATATAACCGTTATCCAACGGATTAATATTACCCGGCAACAAAGTTTAAAATTCTGAAAGAGGGACAAAAAGTAAAAGCCACTAAATATACTTTTTCTCTTTAACCTTTAACAATTATATTTGTTACATATTATATACAAAGACATTTTCAAGCTTAACCCTTCAAAAATTATTTGGTCTTCTTCTAAATTTTCATTTCTGTTTCAAATTCAAATCCCAAATCAAATGGGTTCTTGCATTAGCAAATGTAGATCAAAGAAAAAATTCAAAGAAGATCGTAACCTAGTTCATGATAAACTTGTTATTTCACAGGCTCAAGTTTCTGTTATTAATCCTCAAATAACTGATAGACCTGTTTCTCCAGCCCCATCTTCTGTTTCCTCAGTTTCTTTTTCGTCGTTTTCTTGCTCGAATGGTGGCCCGAGCAATGGATGTTCTATGGCATCGTCGTTATCTTCTACTTCTTCGTCTTCTTCTTCTACGGCCTTGTGCACGAAGGACAGATCATTTTCGAATGAGTTCTTGTGGTCTTGTATGAAGGAGAATCCACATGTAATAGGCTTAAATCAAACCAGGAAAAGTCTCGAAAAAACAGCAGTGTATTCAAGAGTTCAGCCTCAGAGTAATTTCGAGCACTCGGTAAAACCGGTTGTGGAACCAGTACTCAAAAAATCCATCGTCCAAGAAAACTTTTCAAACGAGATGGTTCAACAAGCGACACCCAAGAAAAGACCCCGGCCTTCTTCCCCGACCATCATTCGACAAAAAAGCTTCCGAAAAGAGCAGAATTCTGCAATTTCAAACTCTAATAGAGGACTAATGAGGTCACCCTCTCCAAGCAGAAGATTTAGTGGGGATAACTTGCCCAGGACTACTCCAACAAATGTATCAAAAAACAGTTCTTGTAGGAATTCATCTACAATTTCGAGGGCAAATACAAATATTTCTTCATCATCTGGTAGGAAAAGAGAAAATTCCCGGCCTCAAACTGCAAGTCCAAGTCATGATTTAACCAGGAGAAATAAAGAAGTAGTGAGCAAAAGGGATGTTATTAACCAACAGATTAGTGCAAAAATTGATGATATTTCCGCTGGAGAAGTTCAGTGCAATCAAGGAATGGACATGGATCTTGTCTTGGAGGACATCAACAATCCTCTTATAGCTTTGGATTGTTTCATTTTTTTGTGATTAATTCTAGGTGTGCATGTTTGTGGTTTGATTTGATATATAGGTTTTTTCCATTTTTTAAAAGGGTTTTTTCCTTCGTTTTCCCTTGAGTTTTAACAGTTCTCCACTCATGAACAGGATTCAAAAAACATATATTGTCCATGTTCTGTAGATTATTTTTAAGGTAATAATTCTATGGTTTGTTTGATTTATTTACAAAATGAAATAGATGCTTCAATTTCTTCATTATTTCCTCTCTTCTTGAAATATGCTTTCAACCTCTGGATCTAGGATTTTGTGGAAGGAAAATCACAAAAACAAAAACAGAAGTAAAAGTAATGGTATCCATATTTGTCACTTGAAAACTTTTAAAGACTTTTACGGATTAAAAAAGTTTAGGGATATTCAATGTAGACTTTTATAGTAATTTAATTATTTTACTCTTTTAAAAATATTTTTTTATTACATGAGGGAAGAAGGATGATGATCGATCCTCCACCTCTTAGGGTTGTTTATATAATTTATGATGATTAAACTTAAAATTAAATGAGATTAGTGAATGGATAAATGTTTTTTGATTATTAGTTTTGGCATTTAAATCTTGTTTTTGTTAAATCCATGTAGACCCTGCAAGTGTGGGTAAAAAAGATGAATTTTAATTTTAATTTTCTTTTCTATTATATTCTTAAAAATCCTAAAAATGTGGGTATAATTATTTGTTTAAAATTTCATTGGAATTAATTTTGGGACCACAGTAGATTGAAGAATTTATGATAAAATTTGAAGACATCGGACAATGAATCAGGTTGGACAGCGTTAATTTTGGGACCACAGAAGATTGAGAATTTAAGATAAAATTTGAAGACACCGGACAATGAATCAGGTTGGACAGCGTTAAGAGGCCATAACTTGTTGCAATGTGACCGAAATTCAATTTGGAATTGATGTTTAGTTGATAAAGGAACCTTGGTTTGGAAGTTCGGCCGAAAAAGGGATCAAAATTCATCTAGGTTTGGAAGTTTGATTGAAAAAAAAACTTTGGATAATTGCGAACTTGGTTTTAGAATGTTGGACAGCAACTTAGCGTCCAAGCATTGGCTTCGAGGCACCTAGGCACACATGATGCATAGAACACAAAAATTTAGACATGAAGACGGTGTCTCAACGCTATAGTTGTGGCGCTTGAGTGTTGTGACCGCTGGTTACTTAGATCGCCTAACGCTCAAGCGGCAGTCTTTTCCTACCGTAGAATCCTTACGCGATTCTTATTCTTTTCTTGCATTCTATTTTATCCAAAACACTAAAATTATACTCCTATATACATTCCACGTGATTTAGCCTCTCATGGCATTTGAATGGCATTGAAAACATTAGAAATTTGTGAAGAATAGTTAGATTTAAATTGAGTGCATCAAATCTTGTAAAACAATTCGATTTCTTGATTATGGTAAATTCTCTTCCATTGGCCGTGGTTTTTTTCCCATCTTGGGTTTTCATATAAAATTTTGGCGTTCTTATGTTTGTTTAATTTATTTCATCTTGCCAATTATCTCACTTATATCATAATAAACTAGTATTAGAGCAAGGTTGATATTCTGCATGGCAACGATGAAATATGATATCCCTTTATTGGATCACAACACAATATTTTCTTTATGGCAAGCAATGATGCGTGTTCTTGCATTGATAGATTTGGATGATGCCTTGTCAGGTTTTGATAAAATGCCTTCAACTTGGACGTAGGATGAAAAGTAGCGTAGGGATCGAAAAGCCTTATCATAAATTCATCTATATCTATCAAATCACATATTTCAGGATGTTCTAAAGGAGAAGAGTGCCGCTGCGTTGTAGTTGAGATGGAGCAGCTTTGTATGACAAAAAGTTTGATTAGTAAGTTACACTTAAAGCATCGCTTGTATTCTCATAGGATGTCTGAGGATGATCACCAATCTACGTTCAAAGAAATTGTGGCTAATTTAGAAACATTGGAAGTTAAGTATGATGAGGAAGATATTGCGTTAATGTTGTTATGTTTACCGTCGCCTTCGTATTCGACTTTTAGAGGTACTATTCTCTATAGTTGTGATACTCTTACTGTACACGAGGTCTATGATATTTTATTGTCAAAAGAAAAGATAATGCATCTTGTAGTTGGATCTAAAAGTCAGGCTAAGGGCTTGGTTGTCCGTAAAAGGAACCAAGATAGAAATTTTGGTGAAACCTTTAGGGGCACATAAAGAGAAGGAATGTCCCTTTTGTAAAAAGAAGGGACACATTAGAGTTGATTGCTACAAATTGAAAAATAGAAACAGAATTGTTGTTGCTACTACAGATAATGGAAAGCAACCTAAAACTAAAGGAAAAATTGTTGTTGTGGAAGAAAGGAAAAGTGAAGGAGAACTTTTTGTGATTTCTGATGGTGGTTTCAAATCTTGTGAGGATTGGGTTCTTGACTCAGCTAGTATGTTTCATATATGTCCCAACAGTGGCTTGTTTACAACATATGGGAGAGTTTCGAGAAGTGTTGTGACTATGGGAAACAATTTACCTTGTAAAATAGCTGGAGTTGGTACATGATCAGAATGTTTTATGAAGCTATCAAGACACTAATTAATATAAGGCACGTTCCAAAATTGAATAGGAATCTCATATCTTTGAGTACCTTTAATTCAAAAGGGTATAGATAAACTGGTGAATGTGGAGTTTTAAAGGTGAGCAGAGATGCTCTTATTGTCATGAAAAGACATAAATGCTTTACGCAGCTATACATTTGTGAGGTTCCAAGATTGCAGGGGATATAATAGTTACTACTTCTTCCTTGACAGATGAAGAAGTTACAAAACTTTCGCATATGTGGTTTAGGCATATAAGTGAGATTGATATGGCGGAATTGAGCAAGAGATGACTTCTTGATGCGCAGAAGATCAGTAAATTGAAAATTTGTGAGCAATGTGTCTTTAAGAAATAGAAAAAGGGCCAGATTCGTTAAAGGAAGACAGAACATGAAGGGAACACTTAAGTTTATCCATCTAGATCTTTGGGGACTGATGAGAATACTTTCTAAATGAGGTGCTTATTACTTGTTGACAGTGATCGATGATTTCTCCAAAAAGAGTTGAGTATTCTTCTTAAAACAGAAGAGTGATATGTTCGCAACCTTCTAAGAGTAGAAAACAATGATAGAGAAGATGGTAAAATGTATATGCACAGATAATGAGTTGGAATTTTGTTCAGATGAATTCAATAGCTTCTGCAAGTCGGAAGTAATCTTGAGACAATTGAGAGTGCCTGGAACTATATAGTAGAATGGTGTGACAAAATGAATGGATAGAACCTTGATGGAAATGTTCATTGTATGATCTCAAATGTTAGGTTGCCCAAGACCTTTTGAGCTAAAGCTGCTACTACAACTTGTTTTCTCATTAATCGTCTACCCGCAGTTGCTATTGAGAAAAAGATAACATGAGAGCTATGGACTGCTAATCCTTCTAGTTATTCTAATTTAAAAATACTTGGGTGTCCAGTTTCTGCTGATGTGAATAATGGGAAGTTGGAGCAAATGCCTAGAAAATGCATCTTTCTTTGGTGTGATTAAGCCCAAAGAATAACGCGGTAGTTGTAGTGCAGTTTTGGTGTATCGTACCCATGGGAGATGGAATAATATTTAAATAATCAAAAATGGATGAATTGTTCTCTTAAATGTGTAGTAAGATTCAATATTGAAAGGTGAAATTAAAGTCAATAATTTGAGGCAATGAAGCGTTGGAATTTTTTCAGTTGGATTAGATCATTCACATCAATTATTCTATTTTTATAACACAATTAGAGGCTTTCATTCCAGAACTCTAATCGGAAGATATATCGTGAAAATCAATTTAATTTACAAATGTAATCCTAAAATCTAGACTTATGACATATTCGCACAATTTTATTGGAACAAGATCAAAGATCGACCATATAGATCAATCATAAGGCAGTAATCAATCTGTCAATAAAGTAAAATTGAGATTAAAACCCAACAATTAGTTCAATCTAATGATATAAGAAGTATGACTGGATCTATAAAAAATTAAATAATTTTAAACCAATCTAAAAAACAAGTAATTGAAATTAAAACTCAANAAACCGATTACAATATAAATTCATGAAGAGAAAAGTCTAAATCCGAAGATTATTCAGCAAGAAAAGACCAATTACATGAAATAATAGATATGAAATCATCATATCCAATTGAGTTCCTCCTTTGCTTCACCAATTTCTTTAGCCTTCCTTGGAGTTCTTGAGCCCAACTTGATAGAAAACCGATAGGAGATGAATTGTCCGCGTTCTAGAACGTTTTGGGGCTTAAACATGATGGAAAATTAGGTTTCCATACGTGTTTCAATCAAACAAGGAAACTAAAAAAATTTCGCGTTTTGGCTTAAGGTGCACGACTAGTGTAAGCTAGGGCGCGCGACTTAAGGAATTGGGCAGCCTCAGTTCAGGCTTTCTTGGCGTGAAGCGCGCGCTTTGCAGTGTGTTTGGGCCTTAACTTTCTCTCCTAATATCCGATTAAGCCGATTCAAGTTGCATCGGAAAGCGGTCTTAAAGGGCTACAATGTTTGTTCAGAGACCATCTTAAATTCGATAGTTTTCCATGTCAAAAACTGGTTTGAATATGAGTTTGAATATCGGTGCAAAACTTTTCAACTTGAAAGTTGATATGTGATAATGTCTTGGCTATATTTCATCCCTTTAACTCCTTTCTTCATCCAATTGACCTCTAACACTTTCGAATCTTCATCACAAGGTTAGAAAAAAGTTAGAGTATTTACACTTTAATCCATGAACTTTTGTTTGCCTCCTTTTTGGTCATTTCCACTCGTTTCTTCTTATTTCCGCTACATTCATCACTTGTCCTGTAAAACATAAATTACATAGAATTAAGCTATATTTCAACATATTAATCAAAAATTTCCTTGTTTTAATAGTAAGATAAGTGTGTAAAAACACCCTTATCAAACTCCCCCAAACTTAAACAT